CGCCCTGCGTGCCGCGGCGGGGCAGGGGGAGGGGAACATGGAAACGTGTGGAAACATCAAATAATTTCCCGGGGAAAGTGGTCATGGATTTCCTGGAGCGAGTCTATAGGTCATATAGAAGCAATTGAGAGGAAAAAGCGATTATTTTTTAGCACGGTTGGGAGAGACTAGGTGCAGCCTGAAGGAACAAAGGTGTAGTCTGGTTTGGAAATGAAAAACCTGAATTAGCCTCGTTTTTGAGGATTGCAAAGGTTTGGTACCAGTAGATAGTGAAAATATAGATAGGGATGTTTAATATTCTGCACTCTTTAGAAAGAGTTTCAGCTCCCCTGCAGTTTAATGGTTTCATCACTGAGTGTTTCAGAGGTATCAGATTGTCAGTGATTGCGTGTGGGGGAGACGGAGTGAATTTGCAGGTGAATTTGTGAAAATGAGCGTATAGCAGGATACTTCCACAAAAAGCCACAGAAGCACAAAGTATTCACATCCCCCCTGCTGCAATCCATCCAGGTTCCTCCTACAGAATACTAATAATACCGACAATGCTGCTAGTAATATAATGTAGTCTCTCATACTGCAATTTTCATCAGTGCAGAAGGGCTCAGAAAAAAAAATCTAATTCCTCAGGACTAATACAGAGACCAACTGGCATTCCCTGGCTGCTTTTAAAGAGTTTAGCCTTTTCCCTTTCTAGAAAATGAGAGGATTCCTTTAGAATATACACCTAGACTATGTAGGTCAAGCGGGGAAAATGTCAGGACACCGATAGCAAATTTTAAGAGAGTTGTTGGATCTCCAAATGCGTAACACTTCACAGAACTGTATCTGTAACGTTGAATTGGAAAGGTCATGAGAGAACAGGAAAAGCTAACAGTCCACATAGTTTCAAAAGCCGCAAGGGCAGCATTAGTTAATCTAAGGCTATTGTGAGAATATTTCCCATTCCTTTGGTTCTGAACATCCTGCATCCTTTGGCCTACATGCCAGGGAGAGAGGCTGCTAAAAGAATATGCAGTACATTCCTTCAGATGTCTACTTGGCAAAGACGTGCACATTGTATGAAATGCTGTTGCCAATGCAGAATATTTTGGCATGTGGGTATCCTTACTTAAGTTTGATGCAAGATTAGTCATGTGTTAAAGTCTACTCCCTATTAAGGTGACCAATGCATATATATATATATTCCCATTGGTGCTTGTTTGCCTATTTTCTCCTGCTTACACTACTTAAGATGCAAATTTCTAGATTCAATAGCTTTCTCTTTCTTTCACGCTTATTTAGTACTTAGCTTGGTGAGTTCTCAAGTGAATAGAATATAAACATGATGGGTAATAACCATGAGCACAAGCCTACAGCGAAGTTATGTACAAAATTAAATACAGAACTCAGAGCTCCATGAACAATTACCAGTTCTCCCTGCCATAGTTTGCAACTTTTCTTGACCTATTTTCCATCCTTTTTTTCCCTAAATTTACGGATAATTTGGCACTACCTGGAACGGGACTTGGATTAAAAAATATGTTCCCTACCTCTCCACCAAAAATCTGTTTTATTTTGCACAGACAGTGCTACTTTTCTCTGTGTACGCTACAACACTTGTAAGTTACCACCTACCAAACTGCCATTAGAAGGCAGCATAGCATATTACATTTTGGTAGGCTCTAAGAGAGAGAAATACATTTTAAAAAGCTTATGGGCATGAATATAGAGAAAGTGGCTTTAACGTTGCAGTTGAGTTCAGGTAAAGTAGATATTGCCAATTACCTCAGCCCTGTAGTTTCACTAGTGTTTTTTTGTTGTTTGTTTGTTTGTTTTGTTTTAATAGACAAGGCTACTGAGTCATGTTTGAATGTAAGGACTCACATCCTCAGAGAAGCAAAACTTCAAAAGGTTTGTCTGTATTGCTTCAGCGTTGGGGATTTACTTCAGTTCCTGCAGGCAGCATTCATTTTCTTGCCTCTTCGTTGGGCGCTGTAGTCGCCGATGAAGCCACGAGTGTAGCTGTGCTCATTCGTAACATGGGTGCCACAGTTTGAACGCGCCCCAGAGCCACAGCATCTGTCACGGCGGACACGCTGGACATGGTCGTTCTCTCCCTGTGCCAAGTGCTGCACCTTGTGTATCCGCACGCCGGGAGAGGCAGAGCTGGGTGGGAGGCCAGTGTCCTTCTCCGTTTGGAGGGGGATCAGTACAGCAGGATTAGTGGAGGGCAGAGAGAGGCAGGAAAGCTGAGTTGGGTCATACAAATGGAAGGAGGAAATATGTGGGTGATAGGAATAAAGGAAAGATTAAACACAGGGAATCAGTGTCAGATTTGCCTCTCTTCACTGGGCTTGATTTCCTCCTAAGTAGCTTCACATCTCAGCGCATGCCAGGAAGAAAGAAGTGGTTTAATCTGAGTTTCATAGGGCCATGCAAAGCCAATTTTAGTGTGTTTGCTGACCATCTCTTTCTCTGAGCCTGTTCCCTGGGGTTTGGGCTGATCTCTGCTGACTCTAACTCCCCACAGCTCCAGTTCCATGAAATGTGATGCATTCGGTCTTATCTGGATTCTTGTTTTACTTTTTATTTTTATTTTTTCGCTATATATCTGGTGGTTTACTTCTTTCCTTCTCTCTCACCTCAACTCTGTATATCACAGCCCTCCTCTGCAAGGGCAATACTAGCCTTCTCATCTGAGAAAGAGCTACATGATCCTTCACTTGGAGGAAGAAAACCCAGTAACTGCTGGCTCTGCATCTGCTCTATGCACATCCGGTATCAGGGAAATTACAGTGC